CCCATGGGTGGTATAAGAGGCGACAAAGAAAACAAACCAGGCGATGGGCTGCAACGTCTTCTTATTAACAACATAAACTAAATAGTGCGGTGGCCATCACGTCTGCCAAACACGGAAACTATGGTAAATATTATCCCTAAGTAGGAAGCCCATGTTCAGCTGCGGACTCTTGATACAACTCGCGGCACAAAAGTCTAGCGGTGACCGTCATTGCACATGATTGGCCGTGTTGCTCATTATTGCGTATGATTGGCTGTGCGTATCGTTCGCTATATGGAGTGTAGAGGTAAGGAGTACACACTCTGTATAAAAAAGTGTCCGTAGGAAACCGTTAAATAAGGGTGGCACCACTGTAGCAACGGTCTAAATTTTAAAGAACTTTTTATATTTTTTTTCAAGACTTTCACCGTAATTCTTTTTACAATAATTATTTTATTGCTTTCAAAATTACTCTCAACGTATTTTACGGTGATTTGACATACCCCGTAGCTACTCGAGCGCTATAGTGGAGAGTTTTTAAACTGATATTTACTGGTTACAGATGGGCACTTTTTCAGCTATTCTCCTATGGGAGTTGGTACTCCTTACTTCTATACTCCATAGTTCACTTCAGTTTCAGTTAGTGTGTTCACACACACACACACGGGGGACGGAATGGGAATGAAGAGCCAATGGGGGCTCCATTGGCTCTTCATTCCCATTCCGTCCCCCGTACTGACACGAAATCCACGTTTCGTTCAGCGCTAGAGTTACGTGCCGCGATTTATAAGCTGAAACGTAACAGTTATATTTTTTTATGATGCCATTTTACAAAAGTTTTCAATGGGTCTTCATAACACCTTCTGACAATATTCCCTGAAATATTATGAATTAGATTAGACTTTTGCACTTGTTTTTTTTTTGATAACTGTTATTATTATGCTTGGATAAATAAAAATTAAATATTAAAGACACCTACATATTAAAATTATTTTCACATTGTAGTGTAATAAGTCGATGCACAGATATAGTGCACAAAAGTATTAAAGTTACGACTTCTGAGTGGAAATTTGGAAAACGTTGATAATATTTTATTATTTTGAGTTCTTTGACATTGTCTTTTCATCATTATCATTGCAGTCCTTCACAAGTCCACTGCTGAACATAGGCCCCGCTCAAGGGACGCCACAAAGCATGCTCCCGAGCCAATCCATTGACTTCATGCATGTCTTACCAGCTCGTAACCTCATTTAGCGGGGGGATGCCCTCCCCCCCACTTCGCCTGCTGGTACAAATCTGCCAATCGAGAACCTTTCTTCCGTATGGGTTATCGGTTCCTCGAGCTATATGGCCATCCTATTGCCACTTCAACTTACTAATCCTTTGGGCTATGTCGGTTATTCTGGTTCTACTATATATCCTCATTCCTAAGTTTGTCACGCAGAGAAACCCGATCATAGCCATCACCACGACTTTGAGCTTCCTAATACGGCCAGCAGTGAAGGACCACGTCTCAGATCCATAGATCATCACTGGCAGCACGCATTGGTTGTACAATCTAGTTTTGAGGTATGCCTGACGAGAAAATGCATCGTAATCTCCCAAACGCTGCCCAGCCGCTTTGAATCCGAAGTTGGCATTTACTTTTTATTAAATACTTATTAAAGACTTAGTAATATCACAAGCTGGTACGTCGTGTAAATAGTACACTAACTTCACCCCTATTATCTAACTTCACCCCCATTATTGGCAAAATAGGAGGGAAGTGTGCACTACCCTTTGATAATCTATTAAATTAAAAAAATAATTTACCACTAACCAACATATCGCGTAACTACATTAAAAAAATATACAATTGAATTGTAAACCTTTTTCTTATTTTAAAGTCTGCTAAAAAATGTTGAAATCTGAATCGGAATTCCGTTGTTCCATTGTCGCTACTATCTATTCTACATTATGAATCCAAAATCGGATTGTTGTTACCCATAAGAAATAAGTTGTATTTTGTCGTTATCAACAATATATTATAGTAGTACATCCTTTACCAACAAGTAATTTTAGTACATTACTTGATGGGGAAAGTTTGCGCATCGCCGTAGAAATCCGACTAGCAGCGGCTATTTGTTAACCTCATCAGTATTCTTGTGGTAGCAGCGTTGACGAGTTTGGACTCCACAGACTTTCATGTAAGAAAAGTGCTGGTAGGTTTTCCCGGCACGGTTCTTTAAACGATATCATTTAAAGAGTTCTGTAATTGTTCCCACGGTTTTAGAGCCTTGTGGAATATTTAGAGACGATGACAAGAGACGCGATGGAATGAGATTGGTTCCTTGGGAAAGACGTAGCTCCTCGTTTACAGCGGGGGCGTCATCAGAGGCAGTTAAACTAAGTGGCGCAAATATGAGTATCTGAGAGATATTATTATTATATTATTATATTTATAGCTAAAAGTTAACTATTCAGCAAGGAAACGCAGCCAGTGTTCTTGGCAGGATACTACAGGGAGTAGGATTGTATGATAATTTATGTTTTTAGTTTTTTTTTAATATTTTAATACAGCAGCGTGACTCACTAAATATAAATCTGTCCATAGTAAAATACCATAATATATTATTTATACGTAACCAATACGGATAATGTTCCCTAAACGCTTAAAACATCATTACAGAATAATTCATTTAATAAACGTTTTATTAGTACCTCCTATTCTTCCGATGATTGCAAAGATAAATTTAAAAATATTTATAAATCTTTAATGTACAGAAATTCGATCAATACATGTGGTGTACTTAGTTCCACTCTATGGTGCGCTTGTGTTTCTGTTTTGATTGAAATGTTGTTAAGTAGTAGAGATATTTTTCTGGAAACCCTTTTACCTATTTCTACATTCAAACAGCAGTGTATCCAGTAATCCAGCGAGACTTTTTTCATAAAATAGATTGTACAATATTATTATTTATCACTACTATATACGGGTATTTGCACCACCTAAAAAAATCAATAAAACATCACATATGTAAAAAGTAAACGAAAATGTTGATTTCTATACATTAAAATGCATTATAAATTTTATAATTCAATTTTAAGAATATTTTTTTGTAATCTGTGTCTCAAATAATTAAAACGCTATCCGCCATATTAGAATCCGTCGTGACGTCACTGGTTAAGTAAACTAGCTAATATGCTGTGTGTTATTTCGAAAATTTTGAAGTTATCATTACGATTGTTGACTTCTATCCCGTATTTTGTTGTAATGTCATCATGGAAGATGGATCCGTAAAAGCAGAAATTACTAATCTACCAAAGATAAATACATTGATGGTGGAATTTTTTTACATGCGATCACGTGTTTTGTTTTTCTGAATTGAGGAATGTTAAAACATCAATGTAAATACTTATTAACAACTTTATTTAATTCGTGATCCTTGGCGATTTCAAAAATTGTCCAAGGAATTTTCTGTAAGCCATCACTACCATCGCTGCACAGGAAGGACGACTCACTGACCTACGCTGCAAAACAGAAAGCCGATCTTTTAGGTTCCCTTTTTGCATCCAACTCGACTATTGATAAATGCTCTACGCTTAATGTGTAATTCATACAGTGCTCAGTATGCAAAGCACTCCTCTCCATGGATATCCACAAGTCGATTGGGCTTAACGGAAGCCCCCCAATTGTGCTGAAGACGTGTGCTTCAGAGTTGGAACCGATTCTAACGCATCTTTTCGGTACTTCTACTCACTGGGCGTAGTCCCAAATTCGTGTAAGACAGTTTTCGTACACCCGATCCCTAAAAAAGGTAACCGCTGTGATCCGTCCAATTATTGGGCTTTCGCCATCACCTCCTTGTTCTCGAAAATAATAGAGTCCATCAATAACTGCCAGTTCATGCTGTGTCTATAAGACCACCAACTTATTAGTGACTGCCAGCACGGTTTCCGTCGGGCTCGCTCAGCTGGTGATCTTATTGTTTTCCTAACCACCAATGGGCGCAAACGGTCGAGTCCAAGTACATAGCGAAGACATAACGAAGGCCTTCGATCGGGTTTGGTACAAAGCTGCTATCTTTTGAGCTTCCCGAGAAATTGTACAACTTGATCACCAGTTTTCTCGCTGATCGGAGCATCAGGGTCGTATTAGACGTTGCATGCTTCGATTACGAGCCTATCAATGCTGGTTTTCCACAAGGCTGTGTGCTATCACCTACGTTGTCTCTTCTGTATATCAATGTTGCAAATCAGTAGCATTAAATGCTGTGAACACGACAGCACACGTGATGCTTTTTATACCAGTCGTTCCAATATTTCTCGCGATGACGTCATCGAGTACCGGATTTCCGCGTTTACCGCTAAAGGGAACACTTTGTCGTATCTCTTCAATTTCAGAATAGTTTACTTGCTGTCTCAGCCAGTATCGGAATCCTCGGCGTGGAAATATCGGATGATATACAGTTTCGTGGTCACTCGGAAAGGCAGGCTAAATTGGCCTCTAAAAAGATTGGCGTGCTCAGCAGAGCGGAACAGTATTTCATGCCGGCACACAGCTTGCAACTTTACAAGGCGCAAGTACGGTCCGACATGGAATACTGTTCCCATATCTGGACTGGGGTACCCCAGTGCTAGCTGCTAAACGTATTAAAATTCCTATGTGTGATATATTTTGTCGCCTTGAAGTTGCCATAACTGCACCAACACTTTACACTTTCTTAACATTAGGTACCGTCTTTCTCGTAAAAGACTTTAACGACATCAATGGGATTTAATGGACACCAGCGACAAATTCACCACCGTTATCCTTCCTTCACAAGTCCACTGTTAAACATAAGCCTCATCCAAGTAATATTACAAATAGCGGTCCTAAGTCACCTGTATCAAAATACTTCTTGCATTTATTACCGGGAACTCTATCTGCTTGCCTGCCTAGAACCTTATACATCGGTTTAGTAGCACTATGTACGTCACGTTTATGAATTATCACATTTTCGGAATATTATGATTTTACAAAAATGTGTGTTCTTTTTCAGATCATGCCCGGATATAAAGAAACTGTACTTGCTCGCCAGGCCAAAGAAAAACAAGGATATCATAAAACGGCTGCAAGAACAATTTGACGATGTTGTAAGTGGCAAATTTGTTACTTTTTGCAAATTTCAATTTATTACCTTTATGTTTGTTGCCTATAACTTTTAAATTTTCAAAACAAAACCGATCCTATTCTTAATGATATTCACCAATGATATTTTTTATAATGCCGTGCAAGCATAGTAAATTGTGCCGTGTAGTGGCATATCCACTACAGAAATTATACACAACCAATTATTACATATATGCCACAACGCTACTACTACGCACTATAGGGCCATGCAATTATACACTAGGGGAATATCCACTACTTCATATCATCCCTTCGATGTAGTAAGATGCAACAAGGGAAAACAAATTCAGGAGAAGATCAGTATCAACCTCTTGTTGATTTTTATTTATTTATTTATTTGCTTTTTAAGGGAAACATACAGACAATAAAAATACATTATAAAACATATAAAAGTAATCCTAAAACCAATGAAGTTTCCACAGATATTTAATACATATTAGAAGCTTGCAACCACAATATATTTAAAGATTTAATTTAAAAGAATAACTAAATGGTATTTAAAATTAAACATTAAGTACTAAGCAGTTAAAAGTAATACAATACATACAACCTATAGTGAAGCTACCAATTATAAATTAAGTTTTACAATATTTTTTATAACTATTATATTTAAGGTGAAAAATATCTACTTCACAATATTATTATATTATATTATATTATTATATAATAAGCTTGTTAAGCTGATAACAAAAAAACTACGGTTGTCAATCCGCCGGCGAAGCGTGGCGCCAATGGCAGATATTATCCTTCAATATGTGACATATATAATATTTTAAAATGAAATAATCATATTGTTTTGTTTATATTATCCTTCAGTATGAGACATTATATAATATTTTAAAAGCACATAATCATATTGTTTTAAATAATTATTCACAGTTATATGACAAGTTAAGGAAGGAGTATCCAAACTTTATCGAAAAAATCAGCATTATAGAAGGAGATGTTGGCCAACTGAACCTTGGCATCAGCCACGAAGACAGAGTGAAATTAATAAAAGAGGTAAGTTACTTTAGGTATGATTTCCCAAGTTAATAGTGCCATGTAGCACAATTAGTCAAATACTTATTAAACTAAAGGAATGAGTGTTATGTCTTAACAGTCCTTACCTACTGAGACAGAGATATAGACAATAATGAAACGAAATGACAAAAAGGCAACAAAACAGCGATAGAATAATTTATGTATACTCTGTTTTTTTTCACTTTACCAAGTTTTGTTTTAATTTTCGGAAGTTTTGAACTTGTCTTTTCAACCACTCAAGAATGTAAAATATATTCTTTTATTGAAAAAAACATCTATAGCTTGTACATTTACATTTATAAACAAGTTTCAGACATATTATGTAAAGCTTAAACAGGTTTGTTTTGCAAATTTTTTAAATATTTTTTGTCTTCTGCAATGTTGTTAACACATAATTTACACTATAGCATAATATAACTTTACCTGCCTCGATATTATAAGTACTGCATATATTGATATTACTTTTTACTGTATTTTGTATTACTGTATACCGTATATTGGGTATTAGTGTGATGAGAGTGAAAGGAAGTGGATGTGTGCGCGCGCGCACGTGCGTGTTTTGACACTGAGACGTGAAAACATGTGTTTGTTTATGATATAATTAATGATTAAACGAACTTATCTGAAGTGAAGTTCTATCATAACTATACGAGGTGCTTCGTCCGAAGAGATTAGTAACTGGAACTTATTAACCACAGGTAGATATATATATATATATATTTTTTTTTTTTTATGTACCATTTTATTCGATTACTAGTTGCCATCCTATAGGTAGTTACATAATCCCGTTGCTATAAAAGTCTTGGGAACTTTGATCAAAAAATTCGAGTCCTCTTTTGATATTAACCAAACACTACCCAAAGAATTCTGAAGAGACCGAAGCAGGTGAAGCTCTCTCAATTTTTGCTGAGTGGCCAAATATGTGTGTGGTCTGGCGTAATCGTGTCGGTTTTTTCTCTATTTCTTCCTGTCTCATTTGTTGTTGGCAGTAGAGATCCGCATCGATGGTTTGGCCCGGCGATAAAAGCTCATAAAAAACGATGAACACGAACGATAATTATCAAAGTGATTAATGTTTTCAAAAATGGTTCGGTTTCATTACGTGTCCATAGATAATCGCAAATGAGTACCTAATTCATTAGGTTTGTTACAGAGAGCTCGTGTGGTACCCAAATATCGAGCTTTTTGTACAGCTAGACCTTTTCAAATGGGTCAAATCTGTTTTGTGATCAATCCTCAATTCCTCGGCTATGTTTTACATAATAATATGCCGATCTTGCTTAACTTTTTCAAAAATGACACCGACTTTATCTGTATGAGGGCTTTATCTGTATCCGACCAGAGCGATCTGATTCTCTGACATCAAAATTCCCGGACTGAAAACGCTTGAACCAACTTTGTGCCACTCTTACTGACACTACAATAGGTCCATAAAAGTGAATTTTTTTTACGGCCTGTGTAGCTTTTTTATATAGATACGTATCGAATTTCTTCGTTAAGCTGAACGCAGATTTGTCTACACCGTATGCGCCGCATTTTGCAGATGCCCTCGCACATTTGTAGGTACGCGCCGTAAGCATTTTTTTTGTATTGCCAACAACTTTTACAGTATTTTCCAACCACTGGTATGAAACGGTACAGTAACATTGGTGGTTCGGATCGCTATGGAAAAATTGTAATAGCCTTCTTATTGGCAGAGGAAGAAGAAAATAAAATTTGAAGAAAAAGAAATTTTGGATTCATAATATTAATTTAAAAAGGCATTTTCCGTGTGAGGGCAACTAGAGCGAGCTGTATCTTTGACATTAAAATTCCCAGTCTGAAAACTCTGGAATCAACTTTGTGCTACTCTTACTGACACTGCATTAGGTCCATAAATGTCAAAAAAAAAATACGACTTGAACCGCATTTTCCCTTTTTTGTAATAAAACTTTGGAATGTATCGAATTTCTTCATTAGATTCACTCATTTTGGCGAACAGAAAAGCAATTGAAAAATAGCGGGTGTTTTTTACTTCTTTTTTTTTCTTAATGTCCTATTTGTATTAATATTAAAACCAGCCAGATATAAAGAGTACGAACAAAGAGATTTTGCTTCAATTTTATACAAACAAAATACCAAGAAACTTTTTCCTGAACTATTATTTAAAGTTTTGTGCTGGAAATATTGATGGTTTTTTAAGGTATTACATAACATTTGATCCAAGTCCAACGGCAGTTCACTCGGATATGTGCTTGTTATTCTATTTTTACGCCTTCAGGCGCGCTGTATTTTGCGCTCGTTTTCTTATTTTTTTCAATTGAGTATTTCTGATCATCATCATGACACTTTTTTCCGGTATAATATTAGCCAAACACTTTTCACTGATTAAAACGCAACACAATACAAAAATTAACACCTCTCATATTGAGTGGTGAACATCTAAACTGTGAATGACATATCGAGGGCAGAAGTTATAGACGGTGCAGGAAGTGGAGTTATCCCCACTCCCGTGACTGGAAGAAGGGGAAAAGAGGCTACAGTGCGAGTGGTGAATCCCAGATGTGATACTACCTGTAGTTAATAAGTTCCAGTTACTAATAAAGAGGACGAAGCACGAAGTATAATAATATGTGTGTGTCGCAACTTCAACTTCTTCAAGTTCAAGCAAACGCTATTTGCCATTTTTATTTATTTATTTAATTTTGTAGTCAGCAAAGTGCAAAAGTACTGTAATTGAAATAATGTTAGCGTATGCGTGCTTTCTTACATCCTATATGGAGTCCAGATCAATCTCTTAAAACAAAGTTGAGTAATGAGCATCTAGTAAGGCAGGTATTCATTATGCAGTTTTAATTCAATGCAGTTTTTAGTACAAAAAGCTTTTTCTAACTTAAAGACAACAAATGTGAATAGCACGCTTCTATGTTTTTTTTTATTTTAGAGTTAGGTTATATTTTTAAGTTTGGAAGACTTTTCCAGGTTGAATTCATTTTCCATGGTGCAGCAACAGTGCGCTTCGATGAAGCTCTCAAGACTGCAGTAGAAATTAACGTCAGGGGCACCAGAGAGGTTTTGGCTTTGGCCCGCGGTTGCTCGAAACTGAAAGCTATGGTTCATATTTCCACCGCATATAGGTATGTAAAATAATATCGAGAATGCCTCTTATTTTTGGTACGTGTGGCTACTTTAAAAAAATCCCCACAGTATAATATTTTTTTGTATTGTGAAGGCGTTTTATGCACATAAATTAACATGGATGAAATCCATATTTAAAGCAAAATCTTATAGGCCATTCGGGATTTGAAATCGCAGTCACATATTTTTGTTGGTTCAATTGGCATTTTATTTTATAGGAAAAGGGTGACAATTGAGCACACAGTCCACCTGATGATAAGTAGTTCCTGTGGCCCGTAGACATCTACATCTATCCTCAATTATGAATCAAAATGCAAATACGTTGTCTCCCCTGAGAACTAAGATGGAATGCCTCCTTTCCAGTAAAAAGAGTCTCCAGTTTACTACACTCACCATACGAAACACAGCAGCGTTTAGCTGCTATTTTACGCTGGTATTCTGTGAGAGCGTGGTTCTTCCCCGGTTGAGCTGACCCATTCGTGCTACATCTAATATAGCTGCAGTATGGCTCTACCACGTAATGTGGTGTGGCATGTTGTAAACATGTTGTTCTTGTTATTATATAAACATGAAATCATTTTAATTGAATAATACAATAAAATTGTTAGGTAAGGACAAGTTTTTTTTTTATAACGACGCCTACCTCAGTAAATCTTGACTCACAAACCAACAATTCGAACCTACGACTCAGTTTCCGTTTATATTGATGATCACCAACTACCATTAACTAAACCTACCAGTTACTCTGTTTGAACCTTCTTTATCACACTTATGAATCCATGATTGAATAAGAATAGCCCTTTTGTTTGCGCTGAAAGGCGATGATTTTAAAAAATTCTTCTGAACTCATTACATAGGAAAGTGAGCTGATTGCTGAAATCTCCCTATCACCATTCACACAACACGTTCAACGAACAACACGTTCCCTATCATGTGATCCGTCATTCTTTTCGACTAAAATGTTGATAAAACGGTAGTGAAAGACTTATGTTAAGTCAGTGCATATTATTATCTTAGGCTACATCACCACTTGATGGTAAGTGTGGTAATAGCACTAATTTTAACAGTAAAATAAAATTTTCAGCATCGTCTTTAATCAGCAGAATTCAGCTCTTGCAAGTATAACACTTTTAAAATAAGGGAGACCTCATTAATTTTTTATCTTAACACTTAACAAACATGCAAATGCCATTGATTTTGTATGTTTTGTTAATTTAATGCTATTTAGTTTGGACGTGGCTTTAACAATAAATTAATAAATAGCAAATTTTTTATAGAATTGCGATGACAAACGAGCACGCTGTCCGCTTGTTGGTAAGTGGATGCTGTGGCCCATAGACGTCTACATTTATCACCGATTAAGAATAAAAATGTAGATGCGTTTTCACCCCTCAGGACTACGATGGAATGCCTCGTTTCCAGTAAAATGGTATCCAGTTTTTTACATTCACCATACGAAACATTGATGTATTTTATACAGCTTACTGCAGCAATATTAAGCTGCTATTTTACTCTGGTATTTTGTGAGAGCGTTGTCCTCGCCCAATCGAGCCGACTCATTCATGCTATAACCATGATATAGCCGCAGCGTGGCTCAACTACGTAAAAACACATATAATGATTATGATATTAACAAAATATATTTTACAGCAATTGTCCTTTAAGAGAAATAGATGAAAAGTTCTATGAAAGTCCTTTAAATGGAGAAAAACTGATTGACCTCGTTGAGAATATGGATGAGAAAATCATTAATAACATTACACCTGGGTGAGTACTGATAAACTGGTTAATAAAGTAATCAATACCTATTTCACTTTATAACACGAAAACTTTATCATCATCATCATAATCATTACAGCCAACAAGTGCACTGCTAAGGATAAGCCTCCCCCAACGAATGCTACAAAGCGCGGTCCGGAGCCACCTGCACCAATCGACTTCCTCCATGTCTTAACAGGTCGTCACTCCAGCTAGTGGGAGTCGCCCTATACTTCGCCTACTAGTACGAGGCTGCCACTCGAGAAACTTTCTACCCCATCGGTTGTCGGTTCTTCGAGATATATGGCCGGCCCATTGTCATATTAGCTTACCGTTTTCCGTTGGGTTATGTTGATTACTCTGGTTCTACTGCGGATATCCTCATTTTTTTTTCATCACGCAGAGAAAATTCGAGCATAGCTCTCTCCATAGATCGCTAAGCAAACTTTAGCTTCCTCATGCGGCCAGCAGAACTTTATATGTAAATAATATTCCTTAGTAGAAATGTTCCACTAGCCATAGGAGAACCTCGTAACTAAGAAAATTTTAGGGCAACAAAAGCCCGCCCTTGTTACCTCAATGCCTGTTGACGGTTTCATATTATGACCTTTTCTTTATTGACAAGCTTGTAAATAATACATATTTAAAATTTATATTACCAACTAGTTCGTATCCGGTGCGTTGCTGCCACAGAAGAATTAATTTTGGAAATATCGTTTTAAATTTGTAAAAGTTGTATTGTTTAATTTGATACATTTATTAAAGTTGAATGATATATAACTTAAATATTTTTTCTGTATGATAAGCGCCACCTATTGTAAGTTAAATGTACTATACCTATAACCTTCGCATAAGTGCAGGCAATAAATTGACAAAGTCTTAACGCAGACTGATGTATAGACTTAGAATTAGAATATACTGGAACTGACGAACGATAAGGTAGCGCATTTAATACGAACAAACAAAAACTAATTATAAATATTATATATATTAGATTTCATAGACAGGTGTTGGAAATCGATATCGATTTGTCATCGTATTATAAAATTATTAGGCGTGCGCTTGCTATTGCAGGTGTTCAACCTGAGCACCTAAGTAACAGAAGTCCGTACTCCTTACTCTGTGCGATTTTTACTTTTAATGCTATACTTTCAATACCTGCGATTTTTATATATAAATAATTAATAGTATAATATAGTATACTAGCTTGCCAGGCAGACGTTGTTCTGCCCTTTTCGACGACCCTTTGTCATGTCCTCTTTAACATTCCTAATATCGCAAAAAAAAATTGTGGGTCACTCATGGGCAAAAAAACTATCCTATCTCTCAAGTTGGACCAAACTGCACACGGTGTGCAAATTTGATGAAAATCGGTTAAGTAGTTCAGGAGTCCATCGCGGACAAACAACGTGACACGTAATTTATATATATTACAAAGATATACATACGAAGAAAAATCATTTATATCAAGTTTATTCAGCTGGTACATAAAATTGCATATTATCAAATATATAAACATTAACCATCATATATCTAATATAGTTACGTTTTTAATTTAACCTTACTTTACAGTTTACTTGGGGATTTCCCGAACACCTATGCATACACAAAATCAGCTGCAGAAGATATAGTACAGCGTTATTCCAAAGGATTACCAGTAGCTTTGTTTAGGCCTTCTATAGGTAAGTTTAAATACTATTAATTTTTTTAAATAGGGATAATGAACGAGCACACAGTGCTTCTGATGGTGAGTGGATGCTGCCTCCTCTAGACACAAATATCTATTAAGAATCAAAATACAGATGCGTTATCACCCCTGAGAACAAAATGGAATAAATAGTTTCCAGTAAGAATAGCCTCCGGTTCTCTGCACTCATCATAAAAACAAGATTAAGCTACTATTTTTATCTGTATCTGTTATCTCATCTGCTTAATTCAGAATAAAAATATATTTTTATATGTCTGCTAATTAGCTGTATTTGTATCTGCTTTCGATTGAAAGTGTCATCAAAATTTGTAGCGATTGTAAAATTTTAGAATTTTAACTTCTATTTTCTGGTCTGGATTGGTCATAGCAGCATGTATTCAAATTGAATAATTAATATGTTTTTCCGACGGAACGTTGATGCTACGGGAAGTCTGCAGTTTGCGATCATATCCTAGATGGCCCCAACCATTACATCAGATTTGATAGACCACAAATCCTCGCGAAAGAACATCGATTCGTACCAAGGATAATACGAATAATGAATGAATAGCCTCACTATTGAAATTAAAAAACATCCTAATTTCAATAAAGAAGGAGGCTGGGTCCCAAGCAGGTGGGACCTGTAATTAAAACTAAAGCCAAGCAACTGCAAGATTTCAAAACACAGTTAATTCATTCTGCGTAGATCGGACCAAAGACAATAATTAAAAAGCTGAAGGTACTCCGGGTTAACTTTGACATCGGGACGTCAGTCACCTCAGTCCCCCGTGACCATGGGTGCTGGAAAACACCCGCAACGTCGGGTATTAAAATAAATAAAACGCGATAAAATCCGTAAAAGTAGTTTTAATCAATGTATAGTGTTCGCGCAAATATAAGAAATCATTACATAGAATATTATATATTGTTAATGATTGTTTGTATTTGACTGATTTTTTAATTACTTTTAATAATTATCATTCTTGAAATATATTATAAAGATATTAAAAATATATGAGTACTTTACATTTCATTTTCAGTTATTGGTACATCCAAAGAGCCTGTAGCAGGATGGATCGACAACGTATATGGACCTACTGGGGTAAGAACAATTTTTTTTGTATTTTTTGTATTGAATAAGGGTGACATACGAGCACACAGGCCACCTGATGGTAAGTGGATGCTGGGATCCATATACATCAATATTTATCTTCAATTAAGAATGAAAATTCAGATGGCGTTGTCACCCCTGAGGACTAAGATGGAATGTCTCGTTTTCATTAAAAAGGGTCTCCGGTTCTCTTAGATAAAATAAAAAAAATATATATTAATTTTGACCTCTCAACACATTTACGAAAATTAAATCTCTGTACACAAAAACAAAAATAGTTTTATTAAAAATAGTGATGTACATTCTGTAAATACTAGGAACAAGCATACACACACACAAACACATGTTAGTCGTAACAGTTACTCGACTCCAAAGAGTCGGTAATTTCTTCATGGGGCAATGTATACGCTTTTACAACAAAGTCTCAGAAAATAGACAGACCTTATTTATCAAACGGTTTAAAATATTTATTAAGCAAAAATTGTTTGGTTAGGGTTATAATACTACTAAAAAGTACATGATTGATAATAACCCCTGGGAATAAGGTGATCGCTACCATGCTTAGAACATTCTACCCAAGAATGGTCTAAGCTACTATGCTGTTTCTAAATGTTTTCTTTTATGTTAACTATCGCTTGGTGACAGCGACAACTCGGATACAGACTCGGATTAGTAGCTCGATTGATCTGTATATTGTATACGGGCGAAAGGCCTGTGTTAATCAACAGATCGGAAACAACTGGACATTTCATTATTTTTCTGTGCAAGTGTGGTCGTTACTGTTAAAGCCCATGCGTGCAGCCTCTGCAGCGTGACCCTACCAAATAAAAAGTTTTATAGATTATATTTGCCATTACCGTTCCAGCCTATTTAAGTCCTCTGCTGATATAGGCCTCTTCCATAAATTGCCTTATATTTGCCATAATTGTCACGCCTAGCAAGTTTTTTTGGCTTTTTTAAGAATCCGCTACTGCCCATCTCCCGATTTGTATTAAGAATATTTTTTCACAGGTGGTTGTTGGAGCAGCAGTGGGTCTTCTCCACGTGCTCAACTGCGATCCGAAAGCAATAGCTGATTTAGTTCCGGGAGATATGGTAGTAAACGCGTGTATAGCTACCGCTTGGCGAACGGCACGAGACTATCCTGGGAACCATGAAGATGCACCGCCAGTAGACCAGCCGCCGCCCATTTATAACTTTGTGTCCTCGGAACAACAGCCTTTGACTTGGAGTAAGTTGAAACTTTAAAATCGATAGCTTAATAATAGTTCGACTTGTAGAAGCCTCTCAAAACACTTACAGCCATATCAAAGACTACTCACTATTCAACATAGACCACCACAGTAGTTGCCGCGCTTTGTAGGCGGTTTGGCAACTTTTTTTAAGTTTTTATTAGGAAGATGCTGTTGCACATCTCTTGCTTCAGTATTCACTACCCTATATCTGTCTGTTGAGTTCAAATTAATCATAATCAAACCAAATCGATTACATAATTTTAAGAGGATTATGAAAGGCGCGAGTAAGTATTTTCAAAAATACTATGTATGAAACATACCGCTCGCTTTGTCTTCCTCCTCGTGCGATTGAGAGTTATAATAAGTCTTGGAGGCAATTACCTACAATTCCTTTTAGAAATATTGTTTCGGGCGATAACATTTTCACTCCTTTAAATTATACGAAATGAGGTCTCATTAGATTTAGGTCTGAATTTAGTTAAGTTTAATTTTTTTAAACGCTCGAGGAATTTTTTAATGAAAAAATTATGTTTAGATTCTAATAACTTATAGTACGCAATATTTCTTTAAAATAAAAATGTATGAACCTAGTTTTTCTTTATATCTACATTTCCAAAAACAATGAAATAAAACTATTTTTACGGCGGCAAATCGTTATCGCTTTTTGTATTAAAAAAATACAGCTTCACAACCCTCTTAAAAACGGAACATACCTATCCTAGGACCAAATTTTTAATATGAAATGTGTAACTTTCGGTTCACTATCATTTTATATATTTCTGCACATACGGATGTATTTTTTTATTTTTGTTTCATATCTAAAAGCTTTTTATTTCTTTTGTTACCTTGTTCTGATTTATAATGAGCCATTTTGTAATTGTAACTTTTTGAATATGGGAAGATACTAAATCCCAACACAGCTATAGCTAGTTTGTTACTTAACTTTGTTTTAACATGGTTTTATTAAATCAACAAATTTATTTATGTATTATCATTATTATAGCATTTATGCTGCAACGTCATCACAAAAAAATAAGAGCACTATAAATACGCTGCTTTACATAGCCCTATCCACGAATGTCCCAAGTGAAAGCCAGTAGAGAGGTAATAACAGATCTAGCAGAGATCAAATTTCTATAGCTAAGGGATAAGTATTAAAAATCGTATAATTTAAAAGCAATCAATGTTTTTATTTAGTTGGATATTGAACACACTTACGTTAACATATTTCTGAAAGTTAAACCAAATTATCAAGCAAAAAATCAAAACCTCTGCTTGTTTTGGTATTGCACCGATACAGCGATAAACCCGATATATATATATATATAGTACCTGGATGACCGAGCTTTGCTCGGTTTGAATTAAAAAAAATTTAAGCAATTAGTTTACACAAAACATTTTGTAAAAATTAATCCTAGCTAGATCGATTTATTCTCCTTGGACACTAAATTTTATGAAAATCGTTGGAGCCGTTTCCGAGATTCCGTTTATATATAAATATATATACAAGAATTGCTCCTTTAAAGGTATAGGATATATATATATATATATATATATAGATGTTGAAGGCAGGGCTCCGTGAATTTCAATCATTACAGCTAGAACTTCATTTTTTTACAAAACGCGTTTAGTTTCGTCGATAAAATGCCTGTTTTAGTAAAGCGAAATATATCCTTGTGCTTTACAATAAGGTTCTAAAAAAAGTTTCGCTAACAGGGATTATAACTTGTCTTCCAAAATAATTTCCTTTCCATTTATCATTTGGTATCATTAATGGGTCGGCTCGTCCGGGGAAGGACCACGCTCTCACAGAATACCAGCAAAAAATAGCAGCTTAATGCTCCTGAGGAATTCGTATGGTGAATTTTATGAACCGCAGACTCATTTTCCTGGTAATTAGGTATTCCATGTCAGCCCTCAGGGGTGATAGCGCATCTGCATTTTCATTCAAAATCGAAGATAAAAGGAGATGTCTATAAAATGAAGGTTCGTTTGTTTGATCCCCATATACATTAAATAATATAGTCATTGAAATATCTGACTTTGAATTGATTTATAATAGAATTATTACTGTTGTATGGTTTTATACCTTACAATTAAATTAAATTTTGAAACGATATATTGTTAATTGTGACTTCATTATTAACAATTCTGAAATTGCATATCTAGAAAATACCTTGTTAATAATTCCATAAATATACTATTCTCGATTTTTCAGGAAATTTCATGAAATACAACGAAATATACGGACTTCATGTTCCAACCACACAAGCCGTATGGTATTACATATTCTATCTTACCCCGTCAAAGTTCTTGTACAATTTCATCGGTTTCTTTCTTCATTGGATACCTGCCTATGTTATCGACGCAATTGCAATGTTGATTGGAAGGAAACCAATGTAAGTAATTAAATCCAATATCTATTATTCGTTTATCGTCCATTATCCACCCATCTATTACAGCCTAAAAGTCCTGAAAATAGGCCTGCGCAATAGATTGGCTCACAGGGGAGATTTTACCATCGTTGTCATGCTTGGCAGGCGGGTCGGCAAGCAGTTGTAGCACGAATGGGTCGGCTCGACCGGGGAAGGACCACGCTGTCACAGAATACCGGTGTAAAATAGTAGCTTAATGCTGCTGTGTTTCGTATGATGAGTGTAGAGAACCTGAGACCCTTTTTTACTGGAAACAAAGCATTCTATCTTAGTCCTCAGGGGACAACGCATCTGCGTTTTGATTCTTAATCAAGTATAAATGTACATGTCTTTGGACCACAGCATCAAATTACCATCAGATAGACTGTGTGCTCGTTTGTCAGCCCAATTCTATAAAAAAGATGCTGCTGCCCATCTCCTGTCCTACTTAACAAAAGCCTACTTACTATTGCCTTGATGATATATACTTATTAAAGTAAAATTGGTAAAATCCGCCGTGTGATGTCGGCGTATGAGAATCCATCCTCCATTTCGTGCCATGGAAGTCGTAAAAGGCGTAAAAAATCTCATGGCCTCATCATCTCATATAAGTCAAATACATAATATACATACAGGCGATGAGGAGCAGCGTAAAAGGTGCGGGAATCATCAAGCGAAGCGATTAAAGCTAATCCTTTCTACAATGGGAGAGACTCATATTCAACAGAAGAATTTTATGGGCTGATTAATTACAAGAACGAAATAAATTAAAAAAGAAACTTAATTAATGGCGCCACTGTTACTATATGATCAATAAGAGATTCATATTATTTTCATGGAGTGTAGAGGTAAGGAGAACTGTATCGGTATTAAAAAGTCTCCATAAGAAAGCGTTTAATAAGGGTGGCTCCACTGTAGCTAAAGGGTAAATTTTAAAGAACTTTTAATAAATTTTTATTGCACAGACTTTCACCATAATTCTTTTTTATAATAATTATTTTATTGTTTTATAAATTTTTATTTTCAAAATCACTTTCACGTGATCACGTGTTTCACAACAACTTTCTCTGGGTTATATTTATTTTACTAATTTATTTTAGACAACGTGAGTAGTTGAGGTTTCAAATACTGCAGTTTCATCAACTACTCTAGTCACACCAAATATTAAATTCCTCAATTCAGCACAATTCAGTCCGTCGACATGTGTTAAGTTCATTTCATACCCTGTAGCTACACCAGCACAGTTGTGGAGCGTTTTTGAACTGTTATTTACTGCTTACAGGTGGAAACTTTTTCAACTATTTTCATATATCAGATGGTTCTCCTAACCTCTACACTCCATGCATATTACGTTATCCTGTATATTTATATGATTACCTTCTTTACAGGTTAAGAAAAGCCTATAAGAAAATCGAAAAATTTGCCTCAGTTATCGGATACTTTGCACTACGAGATTGGAAATTCCATAATGGGAACGTTCAATTATTACACAAAGAATTGTGCTTAGCTGACAAACATTTATTCGATTTCGATATCTCACAACTGGACTGGAATGAATACATTTCAAATTACGTAAGAGGCATCAGAGTATACTTATTAAAGGACCCAATTGATACGATCCCACAAGCCACACAAAAATACTACAAACTTAAATGTTTACACTATCTTAGCTCTACTATAATATTACTGGTGACTTTAAGGCTATTGTGGTTTGTATTAAAGTACAGTGTAGGTATTTTATTGTAAGTAACAATATAATATAAATAAATTATGAAATACAAGCCTTTGAAAATCACATAATTGAATGAAAACACATCATTGAAGTCTTGTATTTCACACAATTAGCAATTAAAAGTCCTAGTGACGCCAAAATAATTTGTGATGTAAATAATTCATACTTCAATTACATTAATTAAGGGTGTTCTTTAATAACAAATATTATAACTACTGGAAATTTTTTATACAAGTACGATATAAAGTACTTAATGACGCTTATATATACCTTTTTTATTGTGTTTGATGGGAGTGTGGTAGTCGTAGTATCTACTTTTGTATGTAACTTTGTTTAGAACAAATTATTGCCATATGTCAAATCTTCTAAGAACACGATAACGACAATATATTATGTCATTTTTATAGTATTTTTGTCTTAGTGTGAATACATGCTTTTTGTACCTTACTCTTGGGTATTTAAATTAAAATTGACAAAAAGGATTGATGTAGCCCTTTGATAAATCATCATACGTATGATAATACCTTATCAAAGATGTAGTCAGATATGATCATAGAAAAGTACCTAAACTTCCCTGATTCTGTAAAATTTAAAGTAAAACAATTTAAATTTAAATGAAACAATAGTTCTTTACGAAAATGTATATGGTCATAATTTGTGTTCTTAATACTGTTTTAATTTAGATAGAATAGAAATTGAAATATAGTTAAAATGTTGAAATTTCTTATCCTAACTTAATATGCGTGTTCCACGTGTAATTCCAATGAAGTAATTTCTGATACAAATTTTTTCCAATTACAAATTTTATTGTTATTATTATTGTTAAAAAGATCCAATAGTTATATATTTTAGCAAGTATAACACTTGCAAAAGATATAAGAAATAAAAAGCAGATCACTTTTTTACTTCTTATATCTTTTTAAATTAGAGATGTCACGAACAGTGATATTGCCGAATACCGAATAACCGGTATCCACGCTCTTGGTCGAGGCACCGAATATTCGGCACTTCAGCCGTTAACAGTTTCTGGAATTGTTTGGTGGAAGTAGCTACAGAAAATATGAAGAAAGATGAGGACGTGGAAAGAAAAGTGCTATTGCAAAAGAATTTGATTTTTTTTTCTAAAAACTCCTCGCCTAGAGCTGACAGCAGACCCTCACAAGTGGTGGCCAGCAAACGTACAACAATATCCAAATCTGACAGAAATTGCAAAAAAATCATCTATCATCGCCCTGTAGCAGTGTATTTAGTGAGAGGGTATTATCACAAGCAGGTATAATCTATAGGAAAAAGCGCTATCGGTTTCTACCAACAAATGCTGAAATAATTATTCTCCTTCATCACAATTTACCTCCTATTAATTTTAAGTATTTAAGGAGTGGAATAAGCTACCAGCACCTGTTTTTCCATCCGATTACAATGTGGGTGTCTTAAAGGCAAGAATGAATAGGATTTTGTTAGGTCAATGCGCTTCACCATATTAGACTACCGATAGTAAGTGGTGATGTAGTAAGGTAGGTAAGATTGCAGTTCAGCGCTAGTTTAAGCGATGGTTGGTAAAATAATTAAGTATTCATTGTAATGTTTTGTTGGTAAAATATATTAAGTTTTGTGTAATATGTGTGACTTTTTTTCATTATTTGGTAATCCGTATTCAGCCGAATAGTTCGCAATATTCGGACGAATACTGAATATTAAACAAAGTGACCGAATATACCGTATACCAAACAAAAACTAAACATTCATGGCATCTTTGTTTTAAATCCACATTTAAAAATAAAAAAGAATATGTAGGTTATTAATATCAACGATCACAGGGCGAAACACATTGAAGCTCTATTAAAATATGCAAAAATATTTGGCTTATAACGTAATTGAAATACGCATACAAATTCAACTTGTTTTCTAAATTTTTTTTAAAAATGTATGCATTATTATATTACACTTCACAATCAAATCTATTTTATAGTATTATATATTTATTAGATTTGGGAAATCAATGTTAAGAGGAACTAAACTTATGTTATTTCTATAGTAAATAAGTACACAACTGCTCAGTTATTATTTAAGATAAAAAAATATTGGAATATAAAAATATTGAATATCTAATATTTTGCCATTATGTAACAAATAAACTTATTACAATATTCATGCGTATTCTAATTTCACTTAAATAATATCCTCCATCCGCCAGACTGAATTTTGATCACGGCATCCAATCTCAATGATGACTAACCATATGCGCAGGTACAGGAATATAGTGCCCGAGTATACATACACAAGTGTACTCTCTAAATCCTCACTCTCGCAGTCCGATAGGACGGTTATCTGACATGACGGGGGAAAATCAGGCGCAGGATCAACGGCTTTACATGCTTTCCGAGGCTAGGGGGTGAAACACCACCAACTTCCTAACTCCAGGCTGCGGCTGAAATTTTCTTGATAGAAAAATTCAATAACTCATTTTGACCCAACCCGGAATTTAAATGCGGGATACCGCGTTTACCTTCACATGACCAACAAGGCAGCACAGACTTTAATAATTGTTAAGCGAATAATATAAGCCAAACTAACCCAGTTTCCGTAGCAAAGTCGAAATTCAATGTTAAGAAAGTTGCTTTAAAAATATTGTTATTACATCAGTGTTGCAAGATTTTTACTATGTGTTTTACGGGTAATTTCATGAAAGCACCTATACATCAATCAACACGAAATGGACGAAAGATGTATCAGAATCCGAAATTTGATGAAAGTAAGTACAGCAGTTTTGATAAATTATCCTCAAATCAGCTTGATTGTTTTTTATTTCAATTCAGAAGCCATTTTAAAAGTTTTTTGACACATACATAGAATTTTTGAATTAATTACGTCTCTAGTATAATTATTAATATAATATATGTAATTATTTTGTTAATAATTTGTAAGAATTAAAAATTACTATCATATTAAAAATATAAAATAAAATGTCGTACGGTAAGAGAGACTTCTTCTTATAAAACAGTTAAACGAGAGATATTTCTACAGTTGTTTCGTGCAGATGCCAAAGCCTAGCAACAAATTTCACCGTATGAGACTATCCATGGGAGAGAACTTTTGATGGCCTTTTTGGCCGTTAAAGGAAAAGGGGAGATCTCCCACAGGGCACGGTGTTCAGCCCGGGGGGGTGTAATAGAGCTATATATATCGCAGTAATTCAGAACTTTAATAGCGTGATTTAGGTTTCGGTGAGTTTCACTTGTGGTGCGACGACAGTGCCGCCGCAGAGTGTAATGACTGAATGAATGAATGAAAGAATTTCCTATCCCATCCCATTTTTCATAATGATTGCATCAAATTTCATGCGGTATTTGTCCCGTAATTTTAGGTAGTACGTACGGTAATTTTGTCAACGCAACCTGACATAAATAAATGTATATGCGTAGAGGGAATTTATAAATCTACATATAGTTCATACTCATCGTACTATAGCAATTAAGAGAATAAGTACACACGTATATTTCGATTTACAAGAAAATATTTCGCAATTGTAATAAGTGTGACATTATTTCACAAGACACGACGGCTTTAATTTAAAGTCATTTCATTCTTAATGTTATCAGCATTCAATATCTATATAGAAAGAAGAAACAAAGAAAGAAATGCGTCTATTTCAGTTTAAGCTTGCAGCATAACGTGTAAAAAAGTAATTATATGCCAAAATTGAATAAAGCTATTCATGCGGATTTTATCGCGTTTATTTAACTTATTTTTGATTCCCGACGTTTTGGATGCTTTACAGCAACTATGGTCTGGGAGAAACTGATATGTTTGACGTCTCAATGTCATAGTTAGTCCGGCTACCTTCAGCTTTTGAATACTAATTTTTGGTCCGATCTACGCAGAAAGAACTTACAGTATCCTAAACTCTTGCAGTGGTATGCTTGGGTTTGAATTTAATTTTGTTAATTATAGGATTCCCGTGTTGTGGCAGGTAAGAATATCCACTACCCCATATTTTCCCGTGGGTGTCGTAAGAGGCGACAGAAGGAAACTAAGAAAGAAGATGGGCAGCAGCATCTTTCTGATAACAACAAAAATTAATAAAAAACTGCGGTTTCCCACCCACACGCCAAGCGTGGCAACTATGGCAATATGCCCCCGATGAGAAAGGACACAAAAAAACGGTCCCCAGTCTCCGGCGGCCCCGCTATTTCTGGCTACGGTGACGACCACGGTAACGCGGGGCAGGGGGTGCTAAGAATCTCCGGTGGAGGTTTGGCTGCCACCTAAGACAACTCGATCTGGCAACGTATAACGCACACACCGTGAGGACTGACGAGAAGATCCTGGAGCTGGAAGAAGAGATAGAGAAGTTGCGCTGGGGTGTTATAGGATTACCTGAGGTCCGAAGACAGGGGAGGACACGGTAATCATCGAATCCAGCAACTTCTTCTATCACCGGGAGGGCGACCATCTGTCCCGAGGAGGTGTCGGTTTTATCATCCACAAGTCTCTCGTTAACATCGTTGTAAAGATGTGAAGTGTGTCGATGAGGGTTGCGTACCTTATACTCAGAATTGCCAAACGGTATTCGCTGAAGGTTATACAGGTTTACGCACCAACCTCAGCACATCCCGATGAGAAGGTATATGTAATCTATGAGGATATCTCTAGAGCCATACATTCCTCTAAAACCCACTATACGGGGTTAATGGGAGACTTCAACACAAAACTAGGCATAAGAGAGAACGGTGAGCTGAAAGTAGGGGAATTCAGAATAGGGCAACGAAACCCTAGGGGCCAGCAGCTGGCCGACTATATGAAAAAGAGGGACTCTTTATGATGAACTCTATCTTCAAAAGCAGCCCCACAGAAAATGGACCTGGTCGAGCCCCGACAGTTCGACAAAAAAATGAGATTGACTTCATTATGACGACCAGTCGACAACTGTTCACTGATGTCTCAGTGATCGCAAAGCTGAAAACTGGCAGCCATCACCGAATGGTGAGAGGCACACTGACCCTAAATGTGAAGTTGGTGAGGTCACGTCTAATGACGTCAGCGCACCGTCCCCCTCGTGCTCTAATCCAAAGCCCCGAAAACTTTCAGCTCGAGTCACAAATTCGTTTTCGGTGCCTAGAAAACTGCAATGAAGTGGACAATACAAATGACAAGCTTGTGGAAATTGTCCATGTGGTCGGAGCTATTCTGTAAGACCCTTCGCAGAAGAACACAAAAACTCTCCAATCACACTATTAATCTCATGGCTGTTAGACGGAAGAGCTGTAGTCATCAGCAGATTTGACAGCATACAGGCATCTGAACAGACAGATCACCAAATGCATCCGGCGGTACTTACGCAACTTTAATACAGTTCGTATTGAAGAATCGATTGAGCGAAACCAGGGCTCCAAATTCTTTGCCAGAGATCTGACTGTCAGAAAGAACTAACTGTCGAAGCTGAAGACCGAATGTGGCAGCATCGTTTGGGGGATACCTGAGATTCTAAGTGAGATCGAGAGGTTCTATGGGCAGCTGTACACGTCATCGTTAGAGCCCCACTCAAGTGTGAGTAATGATGTAAGAGCCAGCCTTATCCGACACTATTCCAAAGATATCCTAGACGTCAGTCTGAGCGAGATTAGAATGGCTCTCCAGTACCTTAAAAACGGAAAGTTCCTTGGCGAGGCTGGAATTACAGCGAAGCTTCTGAAAAAGGGTGGAACACCGGTACTTGAAGTCCTTCAGAAGCTCTTCAATTCCGTCCTCCATTGTGGCACCACTCCAGAGGCGTGGAGCAGAAGTGCGGTGGTCTTATTCTTGAAGAAAGGTGACAACGCCCTCTTGAAGAATTACAGACCGATATCCCTTCTGAGCCGCGTCTACGTGCTGTTTTCGAGAGTCGTTACGAATCGTCTCGCACGCAGACTCGATGACTTCCTGCGTCCCGAACAAGCCGATTTCCGAAAAGGCTTCAGTACCATAGACCACATATATACCTTGCGGCAGAGTGTACAGATGTCTGAAGAGCACAATCTGCCACTTTGTCTTGCGTATGTGGACTATGAGAAACCCTTTGACTCCTTCTAAATTTGGGTGGTACTGCAATCCTTTTAGCGGTGCCAAGTTGACTGGCAGTATATCGAAGTGCTGAAGTGTTTCTATAGTGGGACTACGATGGCTATCTGAGTACAGAACCAGAGTACGAAACCTATCCAACTGCAGAAATGTGTAAGACAGGGTGACGTAATATCTTCGAAACTCTTCACCGCTGTATTGGAAGATGTTTGCGTCGTCGTTTCATCTACTGGACTGGAAAGGATACGTAGTAATGGGAGTAATGTCGATATAGTTCTTATAGCAGAATCGCTGGAGGATTTAAGCACTATGCTCAATGACCTCAATAGTGTCTCCCAACGGATAGATCTTAAGATGACATGAACAAAACCAAAGTTATGTGTAGTGTCCATGTCACACCTATGCCGGTTGTTGGGAGCACTAAGCTTGAAGTTGTTGATGAATATGTTTACCTGGGACAAGTAGTTCGACTAGGTAAGTCCAACTTCGACCGAGAGTTCAAACGACGAATTCAACTCGGCTGGGCAGCGTTCGAAAGATTGCGACACATCTTCTCGTCAGGCATACCTCAAAATCTCAAAACTCGATTGTACAACGAGTGCGTGTTGCCAGTGATGACCTATGGATCTGAGACGTGGTCCTTCACTGCTGGCCGTATGAGAAAGCTCAAAGTCGCTCAGCGAGCTATGGAGAGTGTTATGCTCGGAGTTTGTCTGCGTGATAAACTTAGGAATGAGGTTATCCGCAGTAGAATCAGAGTAACTGACATAGCACAATGGATTAGTAAGCTGAAGTGGCAATGGGCCGGCCATACAGCTCGAAGAACCGATAACCGATGGGGATAAAAGTTCCTCGAGTGGCAACCTCGTACTGGCAGGCGAAATGTAGGGCGTCGCCTACTAGATGGAGAGATGACCTTGTAAACCATGCAGGAAGTCAATGGATGCAGGTGACTCAGGACCGTGCTTTGTGGCATTCCTTGGGGGAGGCCTTTAAGCAGTGGATTTGTGAAGGACTGTAATGGTGATGATGAATTATAGGATCCCAAGCAGATGACAGCACCCATCCATCTTCTCAATTGAAATTACGATGTATTTAATTTCAATAGTCTCGTTTAAAATTCGTTGTAGGAATCGGTATTCTATATCGAGGATTTAAGGTTTACGAAATCTGATGTAATGGTGTGGACGATCTTGAACATGTTTACAGACTGCAGACTTCCCAAAGCGTCGGTGCTTCACGTCGGCTATATGTTCTTGCACGCGGGTTTTTTTTTATTTTTTTGTTCGTCTTATGTAAGAGAGACCACCTTCACCATCTAGCATGTACAAGACCTCTACAAGACTCCTGCGTCTTGTAGAGGAATATTAACACTTTATGGATGGTAAAAATTGTCTAATCTTTTTCGGCGGCTTGTATTATGTTTTAATGACAGCTCCCTTCAAGATTTAGCCAACCTTGTCTGTGAGTCCTCTGACATACGGTATAGCAGGCACACGCTCGACTGTGGCCGGCTTCACTCGGTCACTGTAACGTAGGCGCGGGACCCGAAGCTTGTTGTCTTGCAATACTTGCTTAACGTGCTGAAACTCAGCGGCCAGATGTTTTCTGTCACCAATCCTTTGTAATAAAAATAGTTTTATTCAATGTGTAGTATTCGCGTAAGTTTAAGAAATCATTATATGCAAAAAGATAAATCAAACTAAATATTTACCAACATTATAAATTTAAAATAATACACAATTACAGCAATTTATAGGGGAGACCTATTTTCAGCAGTAGCCTTTCGATGGGCTGTAACTAATGGTTTAATGATGGATAATAGGTACCATGCGAGAGTAGAAAGAAAAATTAGTAATACGTTCGTAATCCATTCATTGATATTATATAATGTGGTGGTGTGAGAAAAGAAGAGGCAGACCGCAGTCACGCTATGGTATATATACCATAGCATCGCCCTCTGTGAACGATCCGTGAAGCTAAAATAAATAAAATATTTTAAACTTGTACTTGATTACATGTTTACAGTTAATATTTTCTATGAAACCCGTGACAAAGCTAGGGATAATTTGGCAGAAATATACTGCTTAATTTAAGTAGATTTCATAGTGTCCTTATTATATCTTTTCACTTACCACGATAGTGCTAAATTTCGTATTATTCGACTAAGTTTTTGTGGCAAGATATCTCTAACTTTAATTAACGTTCATTGAAATAATTAAGTATTATTAGAACCAGATTATTCAATATACGAGCACTTGAATTTACTAAGTCAGAAACTAAATTAATTCATAAAGAAATTTATCGACAACATTTTTTGTTTCGGCTGAAAGGCAAACATCTTAGTCAAAAAAGGTGAGAATAATACAGTTGAAAAATATATTTATAAAGATTCTTTTTTTTATCACGTAATAATATGTCATATGCATAAAGAGATCAACTAAGAACATAAAATATGTAATAATAATGATTTTCTCATTTTAAGATACCGTCTATGCGTAATTACTATAAGACTTTTTATTATCTATAACAAAGAGTATATTATAACCAATACATTTTATCTATTTAAAATCGCTGCGTCACATGACATTTTAATTATGATTTTGTAACGACGACAGATGAATTTTTACAAATGTATTTTAGTTATAATGTTTATTTATATTTGTTTACATAAAACTGTTGGTGCTTCTAAAAAAGACTTATATATCGTAGAAACAGGTCTTGAATCAGTGTCACCATGTGCTGTGGGGCTACTTTTTTATGTTGTAATTAATAACACTTCTGAAAAAGACTATGAGGTTGAATTATCACCAAAACAGTGCTGCCTAAGATCTGACTCAAATTTAGACTGTGATACTATAGATATAATAGGCAATTGCAAGGAAAGTATACTGAAAGGTAAGCAGATTTTACACAACATATGTATTAGTTATGTTTTATACAAACGTGAATAAATTAAAAGCTAAATAAAAAGTTTAGTTAGATTAGACTTCCTTTTGTTTATCTTGCACTTAATATTTAAAGAGGTTATTATTTTAAACATCAACTAAAATTCGATAATATGTTCAACTGATATTTAGTCCCCTAAAAATAAAATAATCACAAATAAAACTGCTTTACATAACTGGAATACTTTTGTGATATTCCAGATAATATCATTAAATATTCAGCTGCTGTGGACATTAGTCTTGACATGCGGATTAATTGTTGTACCAGGATTTTTGGCACTGCCCCTAGCCTCTGGTGTGGATATTTTACATCTGGCATAACATACAAAATACTTGTCTCATAATTTTACGGTTCAGTGGCAACGAAATCGTCCTTACATTTCTTTGCTTTTCCGACGTTTACTTTTGCAACAGCCCCAGTGTGAAATGAGAAGATGGATTCTCCTACACATCTTGCCATCAACGGTCGTACGGTGTAAAATGTGTACACTTTATACAGATTTAATTAGAAATAAATTAGGTACAGTATTTATAAGACGATAATCTTTTAATTTAAAGGTACTACAAAAGCACTGAAGCTCGTCGCTCCAGTTTTAGATCCTTTTGAACGTCTTGGATATTGTATTGCTTATTTTGATTCCAAATTAAGAAATAATGCACACAAGAGTATTAAAAGGAACACCGTTAAAATTGATTTTGATACAAGAGTAGATAATAAGAAGCAGTCCATGGAAATACCTGATAATATTAAGAAATGTAAGAATGTTGATCAAGATCCATTTAATAATTGTAAACCGGTTCGGTGTGAAATCCATTATAACGGTAGAAAACCTTTTTATAGTAAAAATCATAAAAGATGTTTAGAAGTTCCCACATGCTTTTCGGAGCTTGAATCTGAATTACCAGTTGCTATTTATAATCCTATTTCAAATAATTGCATTCGAGGTAGATCAATTTTGAAAGATGATATAGAATTTATAAAGAGTTCAGAAAATCCTAAATGCAAAAATGACATCTTTGAAATAAATGATTTACGTTTACCGACTGTTAACAAAAGTGACCTTGAACATGTTACAGGACATAATGTTAATAATAATCAGTATATAAATGATGATCTAGAACCAAAAAGACCTATAAAACTTAGAAATTTAGCTAGTAATTATTACGAATATTATAGTTCCTCTATAATTGGTAGTAAATTTACAATAATATTTCTGGTTATAATAGTCTCAATACAATGTTGTTTAATATGCGCTCTTATTTGTTACATTACAAATAAGTATGATTATTTTAAAAGGAAAAGTATTTTTTTTAATAATAATACAGATGCATCTTTGACGACCCCATTAATTTGCAGTAATACAGATAGTGAGACTACAGACTGTCAATACTTAAGTGGATCCTCTAACAATAATGACAAAAAAAATATTTCTTACAAATCTTGTCAAAGAGGAAGAAGTAATGACATGAAAATAAATATGTCTGACGACATTCTTTCAAAGTGTATAACGAGGAGAGATTGGATAGAAAACAAATATAAAAAATCTGAAGCAGCACGCGAAAACTCCCTTATCGATGAGACAAAAAACAGTTATACAGATGTAATAGGATTTGATATCGATAAATCAAAGGAAAATGATTTTCATAAAATTATCTCGTCTACACGAAAATCAAGTGAAGCTAAAGTTATCTTTGAAGATGAAAGATATTCAAAATATGGTAATAATAAAAAGAAAGATAGAATGTTCAAAAATATTGTTCAAAAAGTTGACTGCAAATGCAATAGAGGTCAAAAAAAGCATATCAAAAAAGAATGCAGTTTATCGGAAAAAGAAATTAGATGCCATAGTTATGAATGCTTATATATTAATAACACAAGTGAAAGTAATAAACGAAATTCAACTGACAATATCAAATTTGATGAAGCCATTAATAATAAGAAAGGTGCAGTATCGCTATCTAGTGAGAAAGGAGCGCAAGTATATTTCTCCAATGATTCCATTGATGATTTTTTATCACAAAGGGGTATGAGGTTTCTAGCTGGCGATGAAATCTCTAAATATACATTTTCCTATACTACTAACCATACTAAACCGCCATTACCGTCAGAAATTTCGAGTAAATCATCGAAACACAACATGATAAAAAATATGTTAACCTCATTGCAAAGTCGTTCTAAGCATGGTATATCATCAGACCCTGGAATTGCAACGAATGACAACTTAGATGTTGAACTAATGTTCCACTCAACTGTATTTACTTCGAGCAATGATTCTGATTGTTTAAAAGAATTTAGGAAACCACAGGACTCTAGAACTTCTTTGTAACTAGGCTTACGACATATTTAGAAATTTACAAACCTTTTATTCTGATAGGTGAAGTAAAGCTATTTCTATCTAATAAATAATTTTAAATGCTACGCTGCTATTATTATGCCTTCTTACTTTTTGATTTACGTGTATTTTAAATGAAAAAGTGTTTAAGTCAGAATGAAATAGGTTATATAATGAAATAGGGAATATGTAAAAAATATTCCAAAATATTTAAAAGAGTGTGCTCCTTAGCCAAGTCATTGTATTTGAGCAACAAAATAAAGACTGCTTCTAATAAAATTAAAATGACATGGAGTATAATTAATAGTGAAACTGGTAAGGTCAACTCTCGCAATTCAAACTACCAGTTAAGTTTCAACAATAAATTAACTAAATCTGATCAGGACGTTGCAATGGTTTTTGAGAAATATTTTACTGATATTCCGATCTTAACCACCTGTCTACCTAAAAACTACTGTACGGATTTTCATTCGGTTTACATCAACATACTTATTCAAGAGAAAGGGCTTAAGTACATAATTTATGACAAATTTTGATAATGTTACGGTGATATTGATGTCGTTAAAGTCGTAAAATAAACGTGCCTCTTAATAGTTTCCAAGACATGCTCTACGTAAATCAAATGTATATGAAATATATTCCCTTCAAAAAGTTCTAAAAAAGTACGCGACGCTAGTAAGTATGCTAATAAGATTAACTCGCTTTTAAATAGAACTGGTGTTTACGGATTATATCGCGTATATTATACTTACTTTATACGATGTTTCGAGCACTTTACAGAACTCATGGTCACGGTTCGACGTCCCAATTTCATAGTTAATCTCGGCTACCATCAGATTAAAAATAATTTAAAGTTAAATTAATCGTTAATATTAACTTGCAATATCGAAAAACATAGCTTCAAAATACACTTAGTAAAACTTCAGTTTATGTAAGTAGAGTTGTTACGAAGTACGAATTCTTGCCTAATTGATTCGTTATATGTATTTTATCTAGATTTATACGTCCTCATACTGTGGATCAGTAGTAGAATTTTTACAAGATTTTTTATTTTCGTACGAGGATGGTGTTTTTCGTACGAGTACCATCCCATGCTGATCACAACTGGTTACGGGTGACGTTCCACGATTTTGTCGTGCATGCCTTTTTAAGGCTTGATAACTAACCCTAAAATATCAAAGATTGTCGGGGCTTTAGCCCCCCGCGCGTCCTCTTCATAAGGAAAAGCGCTTTGCGTTGCTTTTAATTGTTTATTAATATAATTATTATAATTTTATTTCAATAAATTCTTACTTTAAGTTTGGGCTATGTTCGGAGTTTCTCTGCGTGATAGACTCAGAAATGAGGATATCCGCAGTAAAACCAGAGTGACCGATATAGCCCAACGGATTAGTAAGCTGAAGTGGCAATGGGCCGGCCATGTAGCTCGAAGAACCGATAACCGATGGGAAAGAAAGGTACTCGGGTGGCAGCCTCGTACCGGTAGGCGTAGTGTAGGGCGACCCCCCACTAGATGGAGTGACGACCTAGTAAGACATGCAGGAAGTCGATGGATGCAGGTGGCTCAGGACTGTGCTTTGTGGCATTGCTTGGGGGAGGCCTACGTTCAGCAGTGGACTTGTGAAGGGCTGTAATGATGATGATGATGATTAAGTTTGAGTGTATTTTTAACAAAAGAAATGGTAAGGAACACGGTCTTCAAAAAAATTAATACATATTTAATAATTAATTTTGTAAACATTTTTTGTTTTATTATGTTTTAATAGTTAGGATACGCCATGTTTTCTGCTTTTCCACAACTTGGACAGTTACATGGTGGGCACAGGGTCGAAGTAGGTTCCGTAGGTAGAGTCACATAGGCCTCAGGCGTTATCTGAAAAATAGTTATTAAAGATTCACGGCACTCACAAAGTATATATATATAATAAAATTTACGGCGGTTTAAGGTAAAGGTTATATAACTAATAAATGTTTATGTAAACTAATAAAAGTAAACGTGATTTTACATTGGCGAATGCACATTAAATACACAGCATAAGTATTTCCAAATAATCGTACTTTGTACGATACTTATGAAGCAAATGCTATACAATATATATATATACCCAATAAAATATTTTAAATATTTAATGGGACTTTTAAGACAAAATTGCTATTTTATACAAATAAAAGCAAAAACTTTTAGAGGGGGAAATATAAGTTTACATAATGTTACTAGCTTAGGGTTCGTGACAATAAAAACTGCCGATTGAATTACCAAAATTAACACTTTAATTACCGAACACCAATTAAAACTTAAAATACACTAATAATTAATCACACTGATTCACTTTATTTCGCTTCGAAGCTTCGCTTGTATCGCCAAATTCAATACTACTCTGATCGCGGCTTGCAGCGGCTTTAAATACACTTTTTCCACCGAAACATCCAGAACGTTCCATCAAATACCGGTCCCAACTGACTAAGTGCAGAAAGTTCGAGCGTGGACTCGTCTAGAAACCCTAATTCTTCGACCCGCCACTAGATGGCGCTGTTGGGAGAGTTCCAGAAAGATCTTGACATTCTTAATTCTGATACTTGATACCAGATGGCGCTAGTGCCATCAACTGTGGCGCGCAACACTGCCCCCTCCTAAGACATGCTCGTCCTGAGCATTATCGGTCCCATAATAACGTACCAGTTGATCCACATTGACGATCTTAGGAGTACCTCTTGCACCTTTCTGTATCCGGTAGGTTACGTGGTTGATCCTGGTCACAATCCGGTACGAGCCGTCTCATTTAGCTTGAAGCTTAGGAGATTTCCCTTTGCTGCGGACTGGATTGTCCAACCACACTAGTGAACCTTCATCGAACTCTTTGTTGTTCATTTTGCGTTCATACCGGGTTTTTATCTTTTCAGACATTTGCTGGCCCGATTGTCTGACGTGCTCATAAATATCATTAATTTTGTTCCAAAAGTCATTTGCATAATCGGTTATACTGCGTGGGGTATCAGGTGGTATCCCGGTGATCAGGTCTGCAGGCAGCCGTAATTCTCTTCCAAAGTTTGCGAAAGCTGGTGTCACTGATGTACTTTCGTGAACAGCGCTTCGATATGACAACAAAAACGGTTGTATGTGCTTGTTTCAATCTCGTTGCCGATTGTCTACAACTTTTGCTAGGTACCTCTCCAATGTCTAATTAAATCGTTCTACCATTCCATCAGATTGCGGGTGATACGAAGTCGTTCTTGTTTTATGAGTACCCATAGCTCGGCAAGTTTCCTGGAATATTTGTGACTCAAAATTACTTCCTTGATCGCTGTGAATCTCTAAAGGTACTCCAAAACGACAGAAGACTTCATTAACTAGTTTATCTGCAACTGTTGAAGCTTCTTGATTTGGAATGGCGAAGACTTCTGGCCACTTACTGAAGTAATCCATCACATCCATGAAATACTTGTTACCGCTTTCACACTCCGGAAGCGGCCCCGCCACATCAATGGCTATTCTGTCCCATGGTGCACCAACATTGTACAACTTCAATGCACCTGTACGATTGCGACACCAGTACTCGACATCGTTTCGGCAGTGGACCAAGTAAAACCGTTCTCGGATCTTCAGTAGAGTTCGTTTCCTCCCAGATGGCTTCCTGAACAATCATTATGGAACAGCTGCAGCACATCCGGTACTTTAGCTTTAGGGAAAACCATTTGCAAATAACAGTTGTCTCCCCGAACATTTTTCCATTTACGGCACTGAACTCCATCTTCATCATGATTTTATCCCACTTCTGACACCAATTGTTACGAGCTTAGGGTTCGTGACAATAAAAACTGCCGATTAAATTACCAAAATTAACGATTTAATTACCGAACACCAATTAAAACTTAAAAGACACTAATAATTAATCACACTGATTCACTTTATTTTGCTCCGAAGCTTCGCTTGTATCTCCAAATTCAATACTACTCCGATCGCGGCTTGCAGCAGCTTTAAATACACCCTTTCCACCGAAACATCCAGAACGTTCCAGCAAATACCAGTCCCGACCGACTAAGTGTGGAAAGTTCGAGCGTGGACTCCTCTAGAAAGCCTAATTCTTCCACCCGCCACTAGATGTCGCTCTTGGGAGAGTTTCAGAAAGATCTTGACACTCCTATTTCTGATACTTGATACCAGATGGCGCTAGTGCCATCAACTGTGGCGCTCAACAATAATATTAGAGTCAAACGATTATGTATTATGGAACAACAATTGGCTTGGTTACAATCATGAGCTGCGGTAGTCACTTAACATCAGGTGAACCGTATGATCGTTTGCCCCCTCTTCTATAAAAAAATTGTTATAATTTTTTATAAGATGAGTGTGACAAACGAGCACATAGTCCACCTGATTTTAAGTGGTTGCTGTGACCCATAGAATCTACATCTTTCGTCGATTAGGAATCAAAATGCAGATGCTTTGTGACGTGTGAGGACTAAGATGGAATGCCTCGTTTCCAGTAGAAAGGGTAAGGTTCTCTACACTCACCACACGAAAAACAGCAACGTTCAGTGGCTATTTTACGCTGGTATCTGTGAGAGCGTGGTCCTCCACCGATCGAGCGAACCCATTCGTGTACAACTATACTACTAATATAGCTGCAGCATGGCTCTACCTCGTTTAACATATTACCATCAGTAAAATGAATTGTTTTCTAATACAGAGAGATTTTATAAAATAATTACAGCGTATATCAGAAAATTTTACTTTATATATTTATAATAATTTATCGGATTTTCTACTTTATGTAACTGTGACTACTACTACTACTAATGACTAATTCGCTAAGTGAAAATTTAAATAAATAACTGTTAATGAATCCATGGAAATACTTTTTATGGCATAAGAATGACGAAACGAGTTTGCAGTTCAGCTGATAATAAATGTTGCAGCCATCCAGAAACACCCGCTACCAACTTTAAAAAAATTACAAACCAGTGTGTATATGTATGAATGTGACTACTTTGAG